AAGTTGAGTATTGGAGGACGAAGTTTTAAAAGTTACAGGCAAAACTTGAATGTTGATGCATGAAGTTGAATGTTTCATGTCAACATTGAATTTTGGCGGGATTGGAACGCCATACTTGTGACCTTATTAGGATTGCGACGTAAAAACATTAACAGCCAGTTTCCTAGAAAACAATCGATACGCTAACGTTTCGATTCAAATTGACCTCCAACTGTTTACTTAGACTTTTTTACTCGCTCAAAAGTTTATTTCATCAATTAAACCGATGAAAAAGGTGTTGAAAAGGACAAAATTCCATGTTAATTGATGTAAAGATTATGAACACAACAAAACATTGAGTGGTCATTGAGTGGTTTATATTTGTTCGAAAATATTTCATAATTAGCTATATACATTTTTTCAAAAATCCTTACAAATGGAGGTATCTAGTCTATAATTATGTGGTACGAAGCATTTTAGTGTTGAACGCTCTGCAAGGCTAAAATTGTTCTCTAAACGAAAACAAATATTTTATCATAATCACGTGTTATGACGTCCGATCTCATTAAAAACTGCATCAAACATTAATTCAATCTTTATGTGACTTATGTGCAAAAAAGATTTGCAATCGGATAAAACACGTTTATGCACCAGCGTTCCAAAAGTGGAAGGTAGCGGTCAAGCATGAGAGGGTCCAGCCACCTTTTAAGCGTTAACCCAAAACTAAAATTGAGATCAAAACTCATACGAAGGTCTAGTTTTTGGCGCTTTTTGCCATTATTGCTCATATAAATAAAACTTTCCTCTTAAATCTTAATATTTTTGAGCAAATTTATTGGTTTTACGAATTTCTTTCAGTTTTTTAATCATTACTTATAACTTTTAATATAAATCACAGGAAGACACAGGGAACCCGGCTATATTTTTTTTGCTTCTTTTAGAAAATTAACTTTGCTCTTTGTGGGTTTCCTGTGTTGTTATCAGTTTCCGATTTTAAAACCCCTGTTCAAATTATTCATGAAGGTAATTTATTAATAAAAAACCCACGAAATGTTTGCTCAATGAATAAACTTTGGGTCGGGATGTTTTATTTTGTTGAACTCGTAAAAGTAACGATCCTAGAAAGTGATAGTTAAAAGCTAAGTTTTAGTTATGTGTTCACCTCCAGTTGCTCGGACCGCTTAGCTTATGAAACAGGATGTATCTGGTGTACGTCCGATTTGAAACAAAAGAATTTGACAGCTTGTTGACAGAGACATCTAAATTTCCATATAATTTCTGGACATTTCCGGTATCGTTCAATATTTCCCGCGACTTCTAAGCGTGTGCCGCAAATCTGATATTATTATTCTAAAAAAATTGGAAATAAACGTTACATAACAAAACACAAAATTTGAATTCCCTTGTTTACAGGGTTTTACATTTTGAACATTTTCGAACAACATGACGCAATCGAAACATGAAAATCATCAAGACTTGCTGCTGGTTGTACTAAAGTAGCTGGTCCGAGCAACTGGAGGTGATTTCTCCTCCTTTGAGTGTTTACTAGAGAGTGCGTTGCCAACGGTTATTGAATTGAATTTAACTGGCTATCAGTTTACAGCGCCGATCGGATTACAGCTTATGTAAAAGGAACTGATTACAACATAGGAAACCCACAATGAGCGAAGTTAATTTTCTAAAAGAAGCAAAAAATATATAACCGGGTTCCCTGTGAGGAAGACTGATATTTATATGTGAAGAGAAACTTTACCCGGACATCGTGAAATCGATTAACAACTGTAGCCAGGAGCACGTACTATATGTAGTGCGGAGTGTTTCGCTCGAAAAGTTTTAAAAATTAACTACTCCATCTTTCCCATATGAGATAGGTTACTAAACTTATTGTTAAGTTTGTTCAGACGTTTCGTAAAGCTAAGGTAGTGGTTGACGACATAAAGTTCCCAAATGAATCAAATGTAACTTACCAGATACTAGAGTCAGTTCTAAACTTCCTTAAACAAACTGTTGATTAATAGTGAACGAAAATAACAGGCGTCACAACTTAAAAACCCGTGTCAGTTAAGGCAAATTAGGATTTAGTTTTCGCCAATCAATTTTGTCGATTTGTTTCGTGTACTTACCTTTTGTGAGTTGGCCTATCGGGCTCTTCCAATTTTGTCGATCATAGTCATGATCATGGAAATTTATAACTATGACGACCGACACTAAAAACGGATGCAAGGGAGACTAATCTAGAGCTAGATTAGACTTGTTTCTTTTATTCATCAAGTTCAATCTCAACTTGTAACCATTGTTTCGTAATCAGTCAAGCGTCGAATTCGGAATAGGTCTATTGAACTGAGCGAATATGCCTCAGCACGTCCTAAAATTCTAGTTTACTTGTCCGATAGAATTATACTAGTTACCATTAGCTATCATTATCACCATCATCATCTTTCTCATCACCACTACCACTACCACTACCACTGACACCACCACCATCGCATTTACTACCATCACCATCATCATCATCGGCCATTATATCATCATTATCATCGTCCTTGCCATATCATCACCTTTATCATAATGACATGCATCATCACCATCTATCCTGTCATTTACTATTATCCATCCTATGACGTTATTGCAAAAGCATTGAGACTACCGTTACATGTGTCACAAAAGAGGTTCCCTCATTATTAATCCCTCAACCAGATTTCTTCTACTCATCAACATTAGTTCAGTAAGAAGTATAAATTTGTTTCTGCGTGGTTCTAAGAATATTCAACTCATTATATGTAGCACTGAAAATAAACAGAAAAAAACCTTTAACTAATATCAGGGCAGATTCAAAGACAACATTCAAAGCGCTTAGATATAGTAATCCTTCACTACAGCACACAATAGCACTGTGGCCAATCATATGGCTCGCCCTATTCAGTCACTTTGTCATTTTCAAGAACAGGTTTCCCAGCAATTTTGAAAATAAAAATTCCCTGACCCCTTGGAACCCTGAAGAAATGTAATCAAGAAAGTTGTTCACAAATAACAACATTAATCTCAAGCTTTATATCGAAACGATTTCCGGAATTAGCTGATTCGTGACAATGTGATTAGATTTTCAAGTTGCTTCCTCCTGTGCTTCGAGGCCCGGAAACTCAAGTATTTTCCCTCCGAAAAAATCAACTTCTAAATTCCAATTCGATCATGGAAAGAGGGCCATAAGCCTAGGATTGAATAAAATACAAAAAAAAAGCCGAGGTTTGTCAGCAAAAGTCCGCATTATCTCTCTTCTTTCACGTTTTTTCAATAAACTAGTTCTGCAGATCACAAGTCGTATTTTATGTGAAAAATTCCCCTAAATCTACTGACAAAATATCAAAACTGAACAGAATAGCATTATCAGCACAAATATAATTAGAGGCGCAGCTGTTACAATTCTATAATAAGAATTTCTAGAAAATCGAACAGGTCTAGACTTATAGTTAAAAAATAACACTAGATGAATCGAACGCTGTGTGTCTACCGTGACGAAAGGTTACTCAGACAAGATGAACTTTGGTAAACAAATCTAATGAGTTCTAAGAAATAATGTAGAATCCTCAGTAATCTTCATGTTCATGGCTCCTTGTAAACTTTGACGTACCAAGCCAATTTCTTTCGTACAGATTTCAATCCATATGGCTTGTTGTTCTTCTTCCAGACGGCTGGGAATCACACCTTCCTGAATTTGACTCAAGGGATTCATCCTAAACTAGGACAAAAATTTAAAAACTAAATCAATGTCTACAATAATAAAATTTCCGCCGTCTTGTTGACCGGAACACTCTAGAGTTCTTTAGAACCGCCGTCGGCAACAAAGCATGACGGTTCCAAGAAAGATCGCACGCAAAATAAACAAAAATTATCTCGTGTAGGGGAGCAGTGGGGGTTTGAAAATTTGGCAAACCAATTTTTCTCACTTTTGATATTTAAACTTGTTTCGTTATTTTTGGTTTTACTGGAAAAAAGCTCTAAGATTCCGAATTCATCTTGACACGACTAAATATGCGAGAAAATATAACACTAAACTTGTGCATCCTAACGTAGTACAAATATCCTCCCCACCTCTACCCCTGATGTGTCGATAAAACTTCCTTAACACGCACTTTTATAATGATAAATAATGATGAGCTTGCATTAATGTTAGGAAACCCGATCTTTTTTTAGCTCTTTTATACTACATAAAATTCAAAGATAGTTCAAAAATATTCAAATAGATATAGATATTCAAAAATTCATCATTTACAAAGACCGTTAGACTTTCTTTCCTTTAAGTGTCTTCACGCTTTCGTCCGCCATTTTGAATTAGGGCAAACAAATCGAGTCAAATCACAGGGAACCCGGCTATATATTTTTTGCTTCTTTTAGAAAATTAACTTCGCTCTTTGTGGGTTTCCTGTGTTGTAATCAGTTCCTTTTACATAAGCTGTAATCCGATCGGCGCTGTGCACACCCCTAGCTCCTCCCCTCCTTCCCTCCCC